TACCATATCAACAGCAGAGAGGATCTTATTTTTGTTTCCAATGGAGTCCCAATGGCCAAGTCTGGCTATCGATGGAAGGGCCTTCAAATTCATTTGGCTCTAGATTTTTCTGAATTTCAGATGTCAATGTCTAGCTCATCACAACAAGTGAGCATTCCGCAATCACAGTCGAAGCATTCTCTTGGTTCTCAAGCCTCTAAAGGCAAGTTTTATTTTGTTCAATTTTTTTACGCCAGATCACTTAGTGGAAGTCTTGCTTGAGAATTGAATAGTGGCTACTGAGTTGAGTGGAGTTGAGTGCTTTTGATTTATACTAATTGCTTGAGCTTTTCTATTTATTTATTTATTTATACCAAATGTTTCTCAATTTCAAGTCAGGGCGAAGCTGCGTGGTAGTAGGCGGTATTGTTCGTGAAATTTAAAACATGTTTGACCTACCTATGTGATGAATCCATCATTGTCAGAAACGACTAGTAGCCATTCATTCCAGGAACTGCTGAGTCTTCGGCGATAGCAGCTAACTGGTATGTGGCAATGTTTGATTTCGATGCAGTTGAACCAACCGATTTGTCGCTGAAAGTCGGTGATCGAATCATGGTGCTTGAGCAGTGAGTTTTCTTTGTGGTCTTTTTCCTGCATATCCTCTCAGGAAGAGTGCACAACGCGGCTTGAGGGGCTCACAACAGGAACGGGTGCATATGTGCATAGGGTCCAATTCGTTTCAGTCGGTAAACCACTGTAAAATTCCTACCTGGCTACTGTCCGAAAAGCAATCTTGATAAGAATGACGCCTCTGGCTTGCTGGGACTGGTTTATATCAGGACTGTAGTCAAAACAGGCTGCAATTTCAAATGTGGATACTGCCGAAAATAAGCCGCGATTTGATTTGTTGGTGCGAAGGGGAGGGAAGGCTGTGATGTTAAGTTTGCAAGCGGTATTTGTTAAAGTTATTTCGGCGTTTTTTTCGACCTGCGTGGCAGAAAACTGAGCACCGTTTGCTGATTGTTTGGCGGAGTCTTTGTCCGGTGTTGTGTTTTCAAGTTTACTTCTTATTTACTTAAAGGCAAAAGTCGGGCTCAATAAGGGGGTATTATGGCGACTTGAAACTGAGTATAGAGATGCGAAGTAGAACGACAGTGGAAAAAAACTGAGAAAAACCGTCGACAAGGCCGTTAACAAAACCCTCTTTCCCACTAGCAGTGAAGGAGGCTGGCTTGGGAAAGAGGCACGTACAAACAAGTTTTCTGAAGATATCAGTCGTTCTATCGGTTGATACGGCAATCAACCTAGCTGATTTCACACGTTATGCCAGCCACGCACTTCGGGAGGTGGGCGGTCCCGGATTGAAACCGACGGCCCCGGGGGCCTAACGACGTTTTTCAAGGTGGGACGTTGCTGCAATGTGTGCAGCTACTCACGTACAACCTCCGGGCACGGGAATTACTCCTCTAGCGCGGCTGAGCCCGACCTTTGCCTTTAATCACCACGTAATCGTTTCCATACAAGTCTTTTGTAGGAACGATGACTGGTGGAGAGGGCGTTGTAATGGTCGTGAAGGAATCTTTTCCGGCTAACTATGTGCAGAAGTGTGAAAGTAA